GTGGTGGGGGGATGTGCTAGCGTGGGACGACTGGGTGCCTGTGGTGAGTGGTAGGACGTATGGGACTCAGTGGCTATAGACCGGCTCAAGGAGGCGTGTGGTGATGTGCGTGGAGTGGAATGTGAAAAAGGGGGGGTTGATCCGTGGGGGGGGGTTGATCCGTGGGGGGGGGTTGATCCGTGGTGGGGGGGGTTGATCCGTGGTGGGGGGATGTGCTAGCGTGGGACGACTGGGTGCCTGTGGTGAGTGGTTAGGACGTATGGGACTCAGTGGCTATAGACCGGCTCAAGGAGGCGTGTGGTGAGTGCGTGGAGTGGAATGTGAAAAAGGGGGGGTTGATCCGTGGGGGGGGGTTGATCCGTGGGGGGGGGGTTGATCCGTGGTGGGGGGGGTTGATCCGTGGTGGGGGGATGTGCTAGCGTGGGACGACTGGGTGCCTGTGGTGAGTGGTAGGACGTATGGGACTCAGTGGCTATAGACCGGCTCAAGGAGGCGTGTGGTGAGTGCGTGGAGTGGAATGTGAAAAAGGGGGGTTGATCCGTGGGGGGGGGTTGATCCGTGGGGGGGGGGTTGATCCGTGGTGGGGGGGGTTGATCCGTGGTGGGGGGATGTGCTAGCGTGGGACGACTGGGTGCCTGTGGTGAGTGGTAGGACGTATGGGACTCAGTGGCTATAGACCGGCTCAAGGAGGCGTGTGGTGAGTGCGTGGAGTGGAATGTGAAAAAGGGGGGGTTGATCCGTGGGGGGGGGTTGATCCGTGGGGGGGGGGTTGATCCGTGGTGGGGGGGGTTGATCCGTGGTGGGGGGATGTGCTAGCGTGGGACGACTGGGTGCCTGTGGTGAGTGGTAGGACGTATGGGACTCAGTGGCTATAGACCGGCTCAAGGAGGCGTGTGGTGAGTGCGTGGAGTGGAATGTGAAAAAGGGGGGGTTGATCCGTGGGGGGGGGTTGATCCGTGGGGGGGGGGTTGATCCGTGGTGGGGGGGGTTGATCCGTGGTGGGGGGATGTGCTAGCGTGGGACGACTGGGTGCCTGTGGTGAGTGGTAGGACGTATGGGACTCAGTGGCTATAGACCGGCTCAAGGAGGCGTGTGGTGAGTGCGTGGAGTGGAATGTGAAAAAGGGGGGGTTGATCCGTGGGGGGGGGTTGATCCGTGGGGGGGGGGTTGATCCGTGGTGGGGGGGTTGATCCGTGGTGGGGGGATGTGCTAGCGTGGGACGACTGGGTGCCTGTGGTGAGTGGTAGGACGTATGGGACTCAGTGGCTATAGACCGGCTCAAGGAGGCGTGTGGTGAGTGCGTGGAGTGGAATGTGAAAAAGGGGGGGTTGATCCGTGGGGGGGGGTTGATCCGTGGGGGGGGGGTTGATCCGTGGTGGGGGGGGTTGATCCGTGGTGGGGGGATGTGCTAGCGTGGGACGACTGGGTGCCTGTGGTGAGTGGTAGGACGTATGGGACTCAGTGGCTATAGACCGGCTCAAGGAGGCGTGTGGTGAGTGCGTGGAGTGGAATGTGAAAAAGGGGGGGTTGATCCGTGGGGGGGGGTTGATCCGTGGGGGGGGGGTTGATCCGTGGTGGGGGGGGTTGATCCGTGGTGGGGGGATGTGCTAGCGTGGGACGACTGGGTGCCTGTGGTGAGTGGTAGGACGTATGGGACTCAGTGGCTATAGACCGGCTCAAGGAGGCGTGTGGTGAGTGCGTGGAGTGGAATGTGAAAAAGGGGGGTTGATCCGTGGGGGGGGGTTGATCCGTGGGGGGGGGGTTGATCCGTGGTGGGGGGGGTTGATCCGTGGTGGGGGGATGTGCTAGCGTGGGACGACTGGGTGCCTGTGGTGAGTGGTAGGACGTATGGGACTCAGTGGCTATAGACCGGCTCAAGGAGGCGTGTGGTGAGTGCGTGGAGTGGAATGTGAAAAAGGGGGGGTTGATCCGTGGGGGGGGGTTGATCCGTGGGGGGGGGGTTGATCCGTGGTGGGGGGGGTGATCCGTGGTGGGGGGATGTGCTAGCGTGGGACGACTGGGTGCCTGTGGTGAGTGGTAGGACGTATGGGACTCAGTGGCTATAGACCGGCTCAAGGAGGCGTGTGGTGAGTGCGTGGAGTGGAATGTGAAAAAGGGGGGTTGATCCGTGGGGGGGGGTTGATCCGTGGGGGGGGGTTGATCCGTGGTGGGGGGGGTTGATCCGTGGTGGGGGATGTGCTAGCGTGGGACGACTGGGTGCCTGTGGTGAGTGGTAGGACGTATGGGACTCAGTGGCTATAGACCGGCTCAAGGAGGCGTGTGGTGAGTGCGTGGAGTGGAATGTGAAAAGGGGGGGTTGATCCGTGGGGGGGGGTTGATCCGTGGGGGGGGGGTTGATCCGTGGTGGGGGGGTTGATCCGTGGTGGGGGATGTGCTAGCGTGGGACGACTGGGTGCCTGTGGTGAGTGGTAGGACGTATGGGACTCAGTGGCTATAGACCGGCTCAAGGAGGCGTGTGGTGAGTGCGTGGAGTGGAATGTGAAAAAGGGGGGGTTGATCCGTGGGGGGGGGTTGATCCGTGGGGGGGGGGTTGATCCGTGGTGGGGGGGGTTGATCCGTGGTGGGGGGATGTGCTAGCGTGGGACGACTGGGTGCCTGTGGTGAGTGGTAGGACGTATGGGACTCAGTGGCTATAGACCGGCTCAAGGAGGCGTGTGGTGAGTGCGTGGAGTGGAATGTGAAAAAGGGGGGGTTGATCCGTGGGGGGGGTTGATCCGTGGGGGGGGGGTTGATCCGTGGTGGGGGGGGTTGATCCGTGGTGGGGGATGTGCTAGCGTGGGACGACTGGGTGCCTGTGGTGAGTGGTAGGACGTATGGGACTCAGTGGCTATAGACCGGCTCAAGGAGGCGTGTGGTGAGTGCGTGGAGTGGAATGTGAAAAAGGGGGGGTTGATCCGTGGGGGGGGGTTGATCCGTGGGGGGGGGGTTGATCCGTGGTGGGGGGGGTTGATCCGTGGTGGGGGGATGTGCTAGCGTGGGACGACTGGGTGCCTGTGGTGAGTGGTAGGACGTATGGGACTCAGTGGCTATAGACCGGCTCAAGGAGGCGTGTGGTGAGTGCGTGGAGTGGAATGTGAAAAAGGGGGGGTTGATCCGTGGGGGGGGGTTGATCCGTGGGGGGGGGGTTGATCCGTGGTGGGGGGGGTTGATCCGTGGTGGGGGGATGTGCTAGCGTGGGACGACTGGGTGCCTGTGGTGAGTGGTAGGACGTATGGGACTCAGTGGCTATAGACCGGCTCAAGGAGGCGTGTGGTGAGTGCGTGGAGTGGAATGTGAAAAAGGGGGGGTTGATCCGTGGGGGGGGGTTGATCCGTGGGGGGGGGGTTGATCCGTGGTGGGGGGGGTTGATCCGTGGTGGGGGGATGTGCTAGCGTGGGACGACTGGGTGCCTGTGGTGAGTGGTAGGACGTATGGGACTCAGTGGCTATAGACCGGCTCAAGGAGGCGTGTGGTGAGTGCGTGGAGTGGAATGTGAAAAAGGGGGGGTTGATCCGTGGGGGGGGGTTGATCCGTGGGGGGGGGGTTGATCCGTGGTGGGGGGGGTTGATCCGTGGTGGGGGGATGTGCTAGCGTGGGACGACTGGGTGCCTGTGGTGAGTGGTAGGACGTATGGGACTCAGTGGCTATAGACCGGCTCAAGGAGGCGTGTGGTGAGTGCGTGGAGTGGAATGTGAAAAAGGGGGGGTTGATCCGTGGGGGGGGGTTGATCCGTGGGGGGGGGGTTGATCCGTGGTGGGGGGGGTTGATCCGTGGTGGGGGGATGTGCTAGCGTGGGACGACTGGGTGCCTGTGGTGAGTGGTAGGACGTATGGGACTCAGTGGCTATAGACCGGCTCAAGGAGGCGTGTGGTGAGTGCGTGGAGTGGAATGTGAAAAAGGGGGGGTTGATCCGTGGGGGGGGGTTGATCCGTGGGGGGGGGGTTGATCCGTGGTGGGGGGGGTTGATCCGTGGTGGGGGGATGTGCTAGCGTGGGACGACTGGGTGCCTGTGGTGAGTGGTAGGACGTATGGGACTCAGTGGCTATAGACCGGCTCAAGGAGGCGTGTGGTGAGTGCGTGGAGTGGAATGTGAAAAAGGGGGGGTTGATCCGTGGGGGGGGGGTTGATCCGTGGGGGGGGGGTTGATCCGTGGTGGGGGGGGTTGATCCGTGGTGGGGGGATGTGCTAGCGTGGGACGACTGGGTGCCTGTGGTGAGTGGTAGGACGTATGGGACTCAGTGGCTATAGACCGGCTCAAGGAGGCGTGTGGTGAGTGCGTGGAGTGGAATGTGAAAAAGGGGGGGTTGATCCGTGGGGGGGGGGTTGATCCGTGGGGGGGGGGTTGATCCGTGGTGGGGGGGGTTGATCCGTGGTGGGGGGATGTGCTAGCGTGGGACGACTGGGTGCCTGTGGTGAGTGGTAGGACGTATGGGACTCAGTGGCTATAGACCGGCTCAAGAGGCATGTGGTGAGTGGGTGGGTGGAGGCGAACATGGGCATGGGATGGGATGGGAGGGAGGATTGGGTGTGCTGTAAGAATGGGCTGACACGGGACGGGACGAGTGGGGGTCTGCAGTGAGCGGTAGGGTGTGTGGTACTCAGTGGCTGTAGATCGGCCCAAGGAGGCTTGCGGTGAGTGGGTGGAGTGAAGTGGAGTGGATTATGGGCATGGGGAAATTGCAGGGGATGTGTGGGGTGGGGATATGTGGCGAGTGGTAGGGTGTGTGGTACTCAGTGGCTGTAGATCGGCTCAAGGAGGCATGCGGTGAGTGAGTGAAAGGGATTACGGGTGGGGGGGGATTTGTGTGCGGTGGTGATGCAAAAGGAGGGGAACGCGTTTTTTTGCTTCCTCCCTTGCCTTTCCGTTTTCTACTTTCCCTTTCCCTTGGCTTTTCCCTTTCATTTCCCAACCCACAAACTTGTTGTTTTTTCCTCTCTCTAACCTCCCCCTTCCCCCCTCTTCCTTCCATGCCCCCCACTTCCCCCTTTTCGTCCCACAGACCCGTCAGCCAATGCAGACCTAGCAGTGGTGGTGATGCAAGAGGGACTGGCAAACGTCTGTCTTATTGGGGGGAGGTGAGACCTGGGGGAGTTGAAACATGGGGGAGGTGAAACGTGGGGTAGGTGAGACCTGGGGGAGGTGAGACCTGGGGAGGTGAGACCTGGGGGAGTTGAGACCTGGGGAGGTGAGACCTGGGGGAGGTGAGACTCAGGTGTTGAGGCACCCAAAGAACTGACCTAACCGGTGTATATCTGTTTGTACCTGAATAGATTTTACCAAATCTGGATTGCATGTGACCTAATTTGGGGAGGCGAGATTAGGGAAAAGGTGAGTTCCAAGGGGACTGCGACTTTTGAGGCGCCTCTTGAGGCGACTTTTGACGACTTTTGAGGCGCCTCAAAAGTCGAGATTAGGGAAAAGGTGAGTTCTAAGGGGACTGCTTTGAAAAGTTTTGGCGACGTCTCAAATCCCCATTTTGTACGATCTTTTCTCCTGTAAACAGCGTGACTACAGTAAAGGCGCGCATAGAGACGCCAATCCCAAGAAAACGAGGGCCGGCAATCGCGGGATACGATAAGGTGTGTGTGTGTGTGTGTGTGTGTGTGTGTGTGTGCGTGCGTGCGTGCGTGCGTGCGTGCGTGCGTGTGTGTGTGTGTGTGTGTGCGTGCGTGCGTGCGTGTGTGAGAGAGAGCCCCATTGCATGGTTGGTCATAGTAGACGCACATGGTGGTGGGTAGCATGGTGGGTAGCAGACGTAGTGGGTGGTAGACGCACAGTAGGGTGAGTTTCCGAGGTGACATTGATCTGACTCAATAGGCAGAGCGAGTGTCAGCCGTTGCTGTTGGGGGTTATGATAAGGTATGTGTGACCCTCGCATTCCTTATCATATGAGAGGCCTGTTAGAATATCTCTCCTCTTGTAACCTGCATATATGCTATAGGATAGGCTAGAGATAAGCACCCAAACTTAGTTTGGGTGTACAAACAGGGGTAACCCAGTTTGTAGGTTGGAACCCAACCTTGGTCCAATTATTGGACACCAAAAGGTTGGGTTGGGTAGAATTTTTGGCTCCCTCCAATAATGTTGGCCCAACCCCACCTTGGCCAACATTATTGGACCCCACCAATAATCACCCAACCCAACTTCTTGGTTGGGGTCCAATAATGCCTACCAAGGCTAGTATCCAAACTCCAACTATGTATACCCCCATCATTCTCAATCAAGACATAACTTCTATTCTAACTCTCATTCCCCACATGGTATAGAGCACACTATCCTAGGCCTACTATCGTTCCAAAGGCCCACCCGGCCACCGCAACCCCCGGCCTCCTCCCTTTCATTTTTTTTTCCCGACTCCTCTGCCACCTTCCCCCTCCCCCCTTAGCGCTCCCCTTCTTTCGCAGCCTTGCTGCTGCCTTTGCGCCCGCCGTCGCCCGCGCCTTCCCCCCGCGACCTCGTCGTCGCTTCCGCACCCGCGTCGCCCCGGCCTCGTCAGCCGCCGCCGCCCGCGCTGCTCCCCTCCGCGGCCTCGTCGCCGCCTCCGCGCCTGCGTCCGCCGCGGCCTCGCCAGCCGCCGCCACCCCGCTCCCCTCCGCGGCCTCGACGCCGCCTCCGCGCCCGCGACGCCGCGGCCTCGTCAGCCGCCGCCGCCCGCGCCGCTCCCCTCCGCGGCCTCGACGCCGCCTCCGCGCCCGCGACGCCGCGGCCTCGCCAGCCGCCGCCGCCCGCGCAGCTCCCCCTCGCGGCCTCGCCGCCGCCTCCGCGCCCGCGACGCCGCGGCCTCGCCAGCCGCCGCCGCCCGCGCCGCTCCCCTCCGCGGCCTCGACGCCGCCTCCGCGCCCGCGTCGCCGCGGCCTCGCCAACCGCCGCCGCCCGCGCTGCTCCCCTCCGCGGCCTCGTCGCCCCCGCGCCCGCGTCGCCGCGGCCTCACCAACCGCTGCCGCCTGCGCTGCTCCCCTTCACGGCCTCGACGCCGCCTCCGCAACCGCGTCGCCGCGGCCCCACCAGCCGCCGCCCGCGCCGCTCCCCTCCGCCGCCTCAGCACCACCTCTGCGCCTGCGTCCGCCACGGCCTCGCCAGCCGCCGCCACCTCCCGCCGCTTCGCAGCCTCGTAGCCACCTCCGCGCCAACCTCCGCTGCCTGCGCCATTCCTCCACCTCCCCACCGCTTCCGCACCCGCGCCATAGCAGCCCCACCAGCTGCCGCCACCTGCGCGCTTTCGTGACCACTGCGGGTCCACCTGCAGCCGTCCCTCATGGCTAACCCCATGCCCTCCCCCTCCCCCCTCCCTCCTCCTATCGATACTTCCTCCATTGACAAATTACAGCTTGCAGCCGACAAATCTGCCATTAACTGGTACTCGTTCGTCGGCAGCATCCGCCGGGTCCTCACCAATGCATGGATCCCCCCCTACCGCGTCCTTGACGTCGTCCTCCGCCGCCCCCACGCCCTCCCCCCCACCGAACCTGACCACCCCGGCAAGACCCCTCCTCTCCCTCCCCCTCCTGGCGACCCTCCCCTTGAGCCCGAGCTCCAGACCGCCGCCGACCAAGCCACCGCAGATGCAGACTTCATTATGCGTCGCCGTGCCTACCTCATCCGCAAAGCCGAGTACGATGCAGCAGCTGATGCCTACGCCCAGGCCGTTGCTGGCCGCAATGCTCACCTCGCCGTCGTCGCCAAATACAACGACGATATGACTACCTTCACTCCTAAGTTCATCGCCTGGTCAGCCGCTGACAACTGCGCATGCACTGTCATCCTCGGTGCTCTCCCCGACTCCCTCATGCGCCGCTTCCAGGCCCGGGAACTCCGTGCCTCAGTGATATGGGCAGAACTCCATGCTATGTTCGAACGCCGCGACATCAGCTCCGTGGGAATCCTCTTCCAGGAATATTTTTCTATTACCCTCGCCACCTGTGACGGGGCAGTAGACTATGTCGGCCGCATGCGAGAGGTAGTTGATCGCCTCGAAGCCCGCCAAGCCGGTCTCTCCGAACCCCTCCAAATCCATCGCCTCCTCTTCAGTCTCACCCCAGACTATGAATCCCGCCTTCACGCCTTTACCGAGGCCAATCCCATGGCCAATATCACTTCTGTTGAACAGTGGATCATTGATACCGAAGTCAAACTTCGCACCCCCATGGTCAACCTCGCCTCCTCCCACCCTCCCTCCTCTCTCAACACTACCCAGCCCCGCAAGCAGGGCAAACGCAACGGCAAAGGGGGAAGTGGGGGCAAGGGAGGCAGCGGTCAAGGAACCAGCAGCGCCAGCAACCATGGTGCCTCTTCTGGGGATGAGCACGGCACCCCCAGTCAGGGCGGTCCCTCTGGAAACCGAGGACCCCGCCCTGGCACTCTCCCTCCCTGCACCTATGTCCGTCGCTACGGTCCCCGGGCAGGGTCACCCTGCGGTCAAACCAACCATCCCCCTACCACTTGCTTCAAGGCTCTCGATGATGCCTGGTACGCACGGGGCAATGTTGGCACACCTCCCCGCTGGGGTACCGTCTCCCCGCGTCCCTCCCCTGCTGACATCCAAACCCACCCTGCTTATCTCCCCACCCACCTCCGCCTCCTTGCTCCCCCCACGCCGCTCCTCAATATTCAGCAGCAGCATCTTCTGCAGCAACCGCAACTGCAGCAGCAGCTGTTCCAGCAGCAACCACAGCAGCAGCAGCAGCTGTTCCAGCAGCAACCACCGCAGCAGCAACAGCAGCAGCAGCCCCCATGGGGACCCGAGCTCCCACCCCAGTGGGGACCCAGCACTCCCCCCTGGCAGCAGCAGCAGCTGAACCTCAGCGCGGCAGCCACAGCTGCTCAGACCTCCCCTGCTCCCCTGTGGGGTGCCCCACCTCCTCCTGGTGAAACAGCAGGGGAAACAGCAGGAGCCGCAGCAGCAGCACCAGCAGCACCAGCAGCCGCCGCAGCAAGGGCAGCCGCCACAGCAGCAACAGCAGCAGCCACCTCCCCCTCTCCCACCCTCACTCACTCCAACCCCCTCCACCTCCGACCATCTCTCCCACCCCGCTGTACTGCTACATCACCGACTCGGCCACCCCAATTTCGCCGCTCTCCGCACTGCCATCACCTCTCGCCTCCTTCACAGCCTCCCTCCCACTCTCCCTCCCCTCCCTTCCTCTCCAGCCCCTCCATGCCCCTCCTGCATCCACGGCAAACTCAAACAGTCTCCCCACCACAGCCACCCATCCTTTGCTCCCGCTCCCATTGACCTAGTCCATATGGACCTCTGGGGACCCTCCCCCACTCGCTCCCGTCAGGGCCATCGCTACATGCTGGTCCTCGTAGACGACCACAGCCGCTACTCCTCCATTTTCCTCCTCCACACGAAAGACCAGGCACCGACTGTGATCACCCACTGGGCAGAGCAATGCCGCGCCCACTTCAACCGTCCCATCGGCCGCCTTCACTCTGACGGCGGCGGAGAATTCCTCAACCGCACCCTCTCCCACTACTGCGCCACCCATGGCATCCAACAGACCCACACCCTTCCCCACTCCCTGCAGCAGAATGGTGTCGCAGAAATCCGCATTCGCGAAATCACCAAAATCGCTCGTTGCCTCCTCGCTCACGCCTAGACATGAGCACAAGGGCGAACACCTGTTCGGTTCGCCTCGAACACAGGTTTGTTTTTTTTGCTTAAATTGTTCGCCGAACAGTGTTCGATGTTCGCCCGAACACGTTCGTGTTCGAGCCGCTGCTGCAATTTGCCCCGCGACGAACACGAACGTGTTCGATGTTCGCCCGAACATGCCTTCACAGGCGAACGGCGAACACGTGTTTTTGCTTAAAGTGTTCGCCGAACCGAACAGTGTTCGGTTCGGCAAACGGATGTGTTCGTCTAGGGGCGAACACGAACATGTTCGTGTTCGCCCCTTGCTCATCCCTACTCACGCCTCCACCCCTCCTTCCCTCTGGGGCTATGCTCTGCTCCATGCTGCCCTCCTCCTCAACCTTCACTCTCATCCTCAACATACTGCCATCACCCCCACGGAACTCTGGTCAGGCACGAAACCTGACGCTGCCGGTCTCCGTGTCTGGGGCTGCAAGGCATACGTTCTTATCCCTCCTTCTGACCGCACCCACGGCAAGCTCGCTTCTCGCGCCCTCGAGTGTGTCTATCTCGGACACAACCGCGACTCGCCTGGCTATCTCTTCCTCCACCCTCCCTCCGGTCGCCTCATCCGCAGCATTGACGTCGTCTTTGACGAAACCACCCCGTACTACTCCTCTCCACCACCAGACCCCCTCCCTTCTCCTACCCGTCCTCTCGCCTGGACCGACACTGTCCTCCCTCCCCTCCTCCCTCCTGCGCCTCTACTACCACCTCTCCCTGCTCCACCTCCACCGTCCTCCTCTGCTGACATCTACGATCCTACTGCACCTGCATCCCCTGCCCACTCCGCCGCCCCCCCTCTCCCCTTCCCCTCCTCCCCTCCCTCTCCTTCATCCCAACAGCAGCAGCAGCAGCAGCAGCAGCCGCAGCAGCAGCAGCAGCAGCAGCAGCCGCCGCAGCAGCAGGGGCAACAGCAGCTGCGGCAGCAGCCGGGGCAGCAGCAGGGGCAGCAGCAGCAGGAGGAGCAGCAGCCGCAGCAGCAGCAGGGGCTTCAGCAGCACCAACAGCAGCAGCGGCGGAGGGCGACTGCCCGCTCCTCACCCTTCCTCCTCCCTCGCATGCACACCCGCTCCCTTGATCCCATCCTTGGCACACCGCCTTCTCCCTCCCTCAACCTACTAGAAGACTTCCATGAGGAACTTACTATGGTCCAGCGCCACACTCCCTCTCTCACCCCCCTCTACCCTGGCTTCCTCGGCGCTCTTATCCTTGCCGCAGTCTCCGCTCCCACCATCTTCGTCCCCTCCACCTTCCAGGAAGCTATCACCTGCCCAGATGCCGACAAATGGATAGCCGCCATCTTCCTGGAATGTGAGGCCTTCATCCGCAATGACTCTTTCATCGATGTGCCCCTCCCTCCTGACGCCAACCTTGTCGAGGGCAAGTGAATCTTCCGAGTAAAGCAGCTGCCGGGAGAAGAACCAGTCTACAAGGCCCGCTATGTCGCCAAAGGCTTTACACAGACTTGGGCTGAGGACTACTGGTTCACATTCGCCCCTACCGTTAAGCCACCTACCCTTCGCGCCCTTCTCGACGTTGGTGCGCGCGACAACATGGAGATTGACTCCATGGACGTCTCCAACGCATTCTTGCAAGGCGAGCTACACGAGCGTATTTTCCTACGCCGACCTCCCGGGTTTCACGCTGCTTTCCCCGGCAATACCGTCTGGCAACTACGTCGACCAGTCTACGGTCTGAAGCAGGCACCACGAGAATGGCATGCCAAGCTGTCTACCACTCTCCAGTCCCTCGGTTTCTCTGCCTCCCACTCCGATGCCAGCCTCTTCATCCGCTCTTCCCCTCGCTTCTTCATCTCGGTCTATGTTGACGACATGATCCTGCTTGCTGATTCCAGGACCGACATGGACCAGGTGAAGCAGTCCCTTCAGGACCGTCTCAAGTGCAAGGACCTTGGTCCGCTGCAGAACTACCTCGGCATGACCATCACCCGCGACCGATCCGCCCGCACCATCACCCTCTCCCAGTCCCATTACATCGGCCAGGTGCTGGAGAAGTTCGAGATGGCGCAGGCCAAACCGGTCTCCACCCCCCTCCCCTTCGGTCACCAGCTGGCGCCACCCACCTCCCCCTCCGCCTCCTCCCGTCCCTATGCCGAACTCGTCGGGTCGCTGATGTACGCGATGATGTGCACTCGCCCCGACCTTGCCTACCCCATCAGCGTCCTCGTTCGGTTCGTCGGCTCCGGCCACCACACTGAGGAACACTGGACTGCCGCTAAGCGAGTTCTCCGCTACCTCCGGGGCACCAAGGATCACGCCCTCACATTGGGTGGTTCCTCCCCTCCCCTTCTCTCTGGCTTCAGTGATTCCTCCTGGGCGGACTCCCAGCCAGACCGCCGCTCCTCACAAGGCTATGGTTTCACGCTTGGCAGCGGACTTATCAGCTGGCGTTCTACTCGCTCCTCTGCCGTTGCCCTCTCCTCCTGCGAAGACGAACTCTATGCTGGCACTATGGCTGCCCAAGAGTCCCGTTGGCTCTGCTTTCTTCTCGCCGAGCTTGGTGCCCCGCAGCGCTGTCCCACACTCTGGTGTGACAATGCCAGCACCATCCATCTCACCCAGGACCCAGTCTTTCACGGCCGCTCCAAGCACATCGAGCTCCGCTACTTCTTCATCCGTGACCTCGTCCAGCAAGGCCTCATTGCCGTCCGCAAGATCGCTGCCGCGGCCAACTTGGCTGATATATTTACCAAAGCCCTTCTCCGCCCTGCGCACTCTGCTCTTCTCCGTCTCACCGGCCTCGCCCCTCCCGGCGTGCCTTAATTCAGGGGTTGCCACTCTCTAGCCTGTCCACATATCTGCAGGTTAAGGGGTTGTGTTAGAATATCACTCCTCTTGTAACCTGCATATATGCTATAGGATAGGCTAGAGATAAGCACCCAAACTTAGTTTGGGTGTACAAACAGGGGTAACCCAGTTTGTAAGTTGGAACCCAACCTTGGTCCAATTATTGGACACCAAAAGGTTGGGTTGGGTAGAATTATTGGCTCCCTCCAATAATGTTGGCCCAACCCCACCTTGGCCAACATTATTGGACCCCACCAATAATCACCCAACCCAACTTCTTGGTTGGGGTCCAATAATGCCTACCAAGGCTAGTATCCAAACTCCAACTATGTATACCCCCATCATTCTCAATCAAGACATAACTTCTATTCTAACTCTCATTCCCCACAAGGCCCTGGGGGTGACCAGTTGACATGGTGGGATGAGAGCCTGGGGCATGTGATGGATGTGTGAGTGGGGGAAATGTGAGTTGCTAATCAGAGTATAGAAACTGCCCTCTCGATTCCTCCCTTCCCCTCCCCCCCACCCCCCATCCCACCATGTTACAAGCAGGCAATTCATAAGTTCTTTGAGAATGTCTTTCAGGTGAGCACGCACGCCTTTTAGCACGTCGTTTTGCGTTCCAACACGGTTGCACCGATCAGTGGCCATTGCAATCAGTGTTGCCGCACAAGTCTTGCTCACCACACTATCAGCGCATTGAAGAGTCTCATCTATCGCAAAAGACTTTTGTGGCAGGTTAGTGTAGTATAGTTGGGCTCATTTGTGTGTGATGAGGCGATTTTTGAGTCGACTTCAGGCACCCCTTTTTGAATTGCCTCATCACACACGGCAGGTTAGTGTAGTATAGTTGGGCTCATCTTTTGCTCTCAGTCTCTCTGTGCCTCAGAAGAATCTGTGCAGCAGGAATGTATTGCTTTCTCTGTGAAAATTTGAGCTGTTTTCCCCCCTCCGGACTATCTCCTTCCTTCTCTTTTGGTGGGAGCTTCTGCGACCTTTTCAATCTGCTGATGGCATCCAATTTCATGCGCTTGGTCTGCTCTCAACCCCTTTTCCTCAACCCCTTTTTTTCTCTCCATTCTCATCTCCTCATATCTCCGCTCCTTCTCCCCATCTCGTCCATTTTTTCCTTCCCTCTCACTCCTTCCCTTATTTCCGCCCGTCTCACCCACAGGGTGTGCAACGGCACATTGACTTCAATGTTATCCGCTGCCTGCTTATAGCGAGTCCTGGATTTACCAAGGTACTGCCTGCTTATAGCGAGTCCTGGATTTACCAAGGTACTGCCTGCTTATAGCGAGTCCTGGATTTACCAAGGTACTGCCTGCTTATAGCGAGCCCTGGATTTACCAAGGTACAGCCTGCTTATAGCGAGTCCTGGATTTACCAAGGTATTGCCTGCTTATAGCGGGTCCTGGATTTACCAAGGGACAGCCTGCTTATAGCGAGTCCTGGATTTACCAAGGTATTGCCTGCTTATAGCGAGTCCTGGATTTACCAAGGTACAGCCTGCTTATAGCGAGTCCTGGATTTACCAAGGGACTACCTGCTTATAGCGAGTCCTGGATTTACCAAGGGACTGCCTGCTTATAGCGAGTCCTGGATTTACCAAGGGACTGCCTGCTTATAGCGAGTCCTGGATTCACCAAGGTACTGTCTGCTTATAGCGAGCCCTGGATTTACCAAGGTACAGCCTGCTTATAGCGAGTCCTGGATTTACCAAGGTACTGCCTGCTTATAGCGAGTCCTGGATTCACCAAGGTACAGCCTGCTTATAGCGAGTCCTGGATTTACCAAGGGACTGCCTGCTTATAGCGAGTCCTGGATTCACCAAGGTACTGCCTGCTTATAGCGAGTCCTGGATTCACCAAGGTACAGCCTGCTTATAGCGAGTCCTGGATTTACCAAGGTACTGCCTGCTTATAGCGAGTCCTGGATTTACCAAGGTACTGCCTGCTTATAGCGAGTCCTGGATTTACCAAGGTACTGCCTGCTTATAGCGAGTCCTGGATTTACCAAGGTACTGCCTGCTTATAGCGGGTCCTGGATTTACCAAGGGACAGCCTGCTTATAGCGAGTCCTGGATTTACCAAGGTACTGCCTGCTTATAGCGAGTCCTGGATTTACCAAGGTATTGCCTGCGTATAGCGGGTCCTGGATTTACCAAGGGACTGCCTGCTTATAGCGAGTCCTGGATTTACCAAGGTATTGCCTGCTTATAGCGGGTCCTGGATTTACCAAGGGACTGCCTGCTTATAGCGAGTCCTGGATTCAACAAGGTACTGTCTATGTACTGTTGTTCGTCACGTCCTCTTTATAGCATACTCCTCTAGTAGCAGCAGCTACACCCTGAACATGACCAGCTCTTTGATGCTGGAAGTGACTTTCCTTAATCAGACAACACATAGCATGCTCTTACTCTCCTCTGTTCTGGCCACTGCCGCACATGGTGATGTTGGACGCTCAGTGAATGTCATGTCCTGCCCTAGTGATGCCATACATGCTCTGCCATGCCAGTCTTTTCCAATCCCTGCCACACAGCACAGGACCAGTTCTTTGAGTACATGATGCTGGAAGGGAGCTTGGCCTGTATCAGAGGTTTTAAAATTACCATACGCGATTTATTTTACCCCCTTCTCAACCAATCATTGCCGCACAGCACAGGACCGTTTCTTTGAGTACATGATGCTGGAAGGTCAGTGAATGTCAGTCGGATGCCTTGACAATACCATACATTCGAATTATCTTTCCTTCAATCCCTGCCGCACAGCACAGGACCAGTTCTTTGAGTACATGATGCTGGAAGCAACCCGGCAGAACATCCGAGCCATTATCGAGAACAAGGCAAAGATCGTCCTCGCACATTCCACGTCGGGATACAAGTGAGTGGTGCGTTGTGAACGGACAAATGCGTTTTTGGGGGGGGCGCCTAAAGAATGGATGCAAGTGCGTGGAGGAGGGACGGCTAGATGCATGTTATGAGTAGTGTGTTTCTAAGATCCCGAGACAAAAAAGGGCAAGATCGTCCGCACACGATCCACACGTGACGTTGGGCTACAATTGGCGACTTTTGAGGCGCCTTTTGAGGTGGCTTTGAGGCTCCTCAATAGTTCAAAGATCGTCCGCCCGCAGTGGGTGAGCCCGTATCATTCATCAGGATACGGAGTGGGTGGGATGCCTCATCTGAGTGGTGTGGTTTGAACAGACGATAGCTGCGAGCCGGTCCTCCTAGACTACCTATGCTTCTGCTTCCATTTTAACAAGTCCGCATGATGAAGGATGCCAAAAGAAGGAGGCATGCACGCATGCGTGCCTGCTGTTGTTGACTTGACTGTGTCTGTGTCCGGCTTTTTTTTATGTGTGTATACATGCATACATGCACGCACCCCTCGTGTGTGATGAGGCGATTTTGTAGTCGACTCAAAAATCGCCTCATCATATACATGCATGCATGCACCCCTCCATGTTGACTTGACTGTGTGCCATGCAGGCATTTTTTAGTCGACTACAAAATGCCTGCTCTTGTTGACTTGACTGTGTCTCTGTGTCAGGCATTTTCTAATGAGTATATTCATGCATGCACCCCTCCCCATGTTGATGTCACGGTGTCTCATGCAGGCACGCAGTGAAAGAGGTGCTGGCGCTGCCAGCGATCATGACTCAAATCAAAGACACCAAGGCAGCCAAGGAGGTGAGTTAGTGAGTGAGTGAGTGAGTGAGTGAGTGAGTAGGTGGGTGGATGAGACAGGCATGAAGGAGAAGCTGATTGTGTACGGGTCGGGTTACATAGAGGTTGTATTCTGAGCCATGAGTCATGAGCCATGACCATACGAGTCAACGAGTTTTCCATCAGCCACCTTTCATGCTCTTCACCACTTCGTTTCCCCCGTATGCATCTTGCTGGCTTGCTTCGAGAAGCCTCACTCACTATTGCCTTTCCTTTCCCTGTTCCTTTCACCTCCCATTCCCACCTGTTTTTCCTCCCACGCCTTGTGGTCAGTTGAGAGCACCGGAGGGCTACTATGCTCCTCCAGTACTCCATGAGCACTTTTATTTCTTATAACGATTTGACAGAATTCCTCAAAATCTTTCCTCCAGTGTATAATGATTTGGGAGAGCGGAAATGTGCTCCCATTCTCCCACACATTGAAAAGTTATCTGATCATCTAAGCCCTCATGCTCTCTCTCCCCTGCTTCCCAACCCCCTTTCTTCCTTCCGTACTTCATGGCCAGGTGAAAGCACTCGAGGACTTCTATGCCATGCTCTCAAACGTAAGTGCAACTGTCTTCCATCGCAGTTTGCTTCATGCCTTGCCACTCACACCCTTTCAGATGACTTGTTCTTCAAGGCATGCAGTTGTGGTTCATTCAAGTCCCTCCTCTGCTCCCCTTCTCTCTCCACACCCTGGCAGAACTCAGCGTGGGTTACTTATACACCCGGGCATGTGGAAGCAGCATATGAGTCATTAAGTCTCTCCTATGCCCGGGCATATGTGCGACATCCAGACACGTCACATCGCCAGAGACTTGTTACGTGAAATAAGATTGGTTTTGAGTGAGACGTCTTTCAAAACCAATCTTATTTCACGTGGCTATGAGCGACATCCAGACACGTCTCATCTCCAGAGATGTGTTCCATTCCAACCAACACGCAATGGTGACTCATTATGTCTCTCCTCTCCCTGCTCTCCCTCCACACCTTTGCAGGACTCTTCTCGGGCCTTCTACGGTCCCGGGCACGTGGAGGCGGCAAATGAGCGCCTTGCCATCCACACACTCCTCATCTCAGATGACCTGTTCCGGTGGGCACCTTTTTATTCCTTACTGGCTGATTCTTTAAGAAATCTCATCTGTGGCACAAGGCGGCAAATGAGCGCCTTGCGATCCAACACATTTCTCATCTCAGATGACCTGTTTGGGTAGGCACTCGTTGGTCACTCACCTTTTTTTATTTCTTTCTTTCTCTCTCTCTCTCTCTCTCTCTCTCTCTCTCTCTCTCTCTCTCTCTCTCTCTCTCTCTCTCTCTCTCTCTCTCTCAAATGGTCCTTTGTATTAATTCAGCGGCGGTACAAGCATACGGTTTGATTTGTGGTTCCCTTTAGACCCTCTGCCCCATTGGCCCATCCCTCTGACCCTCCTCCCCCCTCAGTGACCCTCTACCCCTCCAGCGTGTTGAGGATGTCTCTCTCTCTCTCTCTCTCTCTCTCTCTCTCTCTCTCTCTCTCTCTCTCTCTCTCTCTCTCTCTCTCTCTCTCTCTCTCTCTCTTTGCTTAGTAAGCTCCAGTTTTGTGTGTCGTTTCGTTTTTGTTTTCCCCTTGTCCTTTCTTGCATGCTTTCTTCCTATGCTCCTCCCTTCCCCTCCCCCACCTCACCCTCCCTCTCCCCCCTTCCTCGCATCCCCACATCCCCATTGTTACCACCACCACCACCACCCCATTGCTGAAATGTAGGAATGCGGATGTGAAGACGAGGCGACGCTATGTTGACTTGGTGGAGTCCGTGAGGGCGAATGGTGGCCAAGTGCACGTTTTCCCCCACCTCTCCTCCACACTCCGCCCTCTTCCGCCCCACCACCACCACCCACCACCCCATATTCGACAGCAACGCGGATGTGAAGACTCGGAGACGCTACCTGGATCTGGTGGAGTCCGTGAGAGGGAGTGCAGGCCAAGTGCACGTTTTCTCCTCCCTTCACACAAGGTTGTCTCACCTCCTCTCTTGCCCCACCGCACTTCCCCACACCTTTTTCCTCACAGCAATGCGGATGTGAAGACGAGGCGACGCTATGTGGATCTGGTGGAGTCAGTGAGAGCGAATGGCGGGCAAGTGCACGTCTTCTCCTCCTTGCATGTCTCTGGCGAACGTATGTATTCACACCACCAGTTTAATCCACAAGGCTACAAGGTCACAAGGTGACTTGTTGACAAGGTTGCAAGTTCTCAAGGTTATGTGGTTTACAAGGTCACAAGGTTATGAGGTTACAAGGTCACAAAGTTATGATGTTACAAGGTCAAAAGGTTATGAGGTTACAAGGTCACAAGGTTACAATGGCCCATGGTCCATGGCACATAGCACATGCCACATGCTGCATCTCATTCTCATTCTCTCATCTGTCATCCTTGGGTTCATGCTCCAATTTCCTCGGATTTCGTCTCTGTGCTCTGCCTTTTGAGGCGCCTCAAAATTGCTTCTAATGGGATGACTTTTGAGGCGCCTCAAAATTGCTTGTAATTAGATGACTTTTGAGGCGCCTCAAAAGTATCCCCATCTCATTCTCTCAACTGTCATCCTTGGGTCCATGCTCCGATTTCCTCGGATTTCATCTCTGTGCTCTGCCTTCTGCCTTTGAACAGAGTTGGTCAATCTCGCTGGGATTGCTGCAATCCTGCGCTTCCCACTGCCAGAATTGGAAGATATGGAACTGTGATTCCGAACTTGGAAACCACATTGTGGATTGATGATGGCATGGTAGGGTTATTCTGGCATTCTGGAGACTGGAACACCGGGGTTCATTTAAAGTACTGGTACTATCAGCAAGGGACAGTGCTGATCGTGAAAGCTAGATGAATGATACTGTACACTATAGTAGGTAGCAAAAATGGTGATTCTTACCCTGACTGAAACACACATGCATGTAGGTAGCAAGCTAGCAGCTCCCAATTGGAAGGAAGCAGCATAGAGCTCCCAGGTTCAGAAAGTATCAATAACACGGACGGGCCATGCTCTGTCGTACCCACCCACCATGTCCATATTGGCTACGTTGAATGTGAACCTTCGCCTCAAAACCAAGTTCCGGTGCCGGTCTCTGGTCCAAGCCTGAAAACATTCTTCTTGCCATTGCGTCGAGACAGAGTCGAGACAAGATGTGTTCCATTCCAATTCCAACCTACAGCTCCTGCAAGCCAAAACCATGTGGTACCAGAGAGGAGAGCACAAGCAGGGCTCTGGTTATCAGACCAAATCGGTCTGATGGTTTGATTTTCATGTCAAACTGATAAAATGTTAATATTGTGTAGGCTGTAGTGGGGTATGTCAGATTATAATGCATGTCTAGTCTGTAGTGGGGTACTCAAAAGTGAGTATAACCCTTTTAGGGCTTACTACTTGTATCCCCCTCCTTTCTAGTTTCACCATTCTCCTTCCACAATTCTCTCGACATTTTCCTTACACCCTACACCCTCGAACTTCACCAAGTCACCTAAGCTACTATGGCTCCTAAGCCAAACTCTCGCTAGTTTTTTAACATGCTATCAGAGCTTAAAGCTCCTGGCCTGTGGGCCCACTTGCTTCCGCTGCCCTACTGTGTGTCGCGCGCCCCGTGGCGCGCGACATTCTCTTTTTCTTCCCGCCACGCGCTCGGAACGCGTGGCGGTTTTCTGCCCGCCGTGCGCCCCGAGGCGCGCGGCGGGTTCCTACCTCGTAGCGGCGTCTTGGGGGCCCGCGCACTGGCCCCGACCGTCGCCTCGTCGCGGCGTTTTTGGGGGCCCGCACGCAGGCCCCTCCCGTCGCCTCGTCGCGGCACTTTTGGGGCCCGCGAGCCGGCCCCTCCCGTTGCCTCGTCACGGCGCCTTAGGGGCCTGCGCGCGGTCCCCTCCCGTCGCCCGTCGAGGCACTTTCGGGGGCCTGCGCGGCTCCCTAGCACGTCGCCCGTCAGGGCACCCTGGGGGCCGCGCCCTTCCCCTCCCCTCCCTCCTAATTTCCGCTGCAGCAGCAGCCCCTGGAGCAGCCGCCCCAGCAGCAGCAGCACCTGGAGCAGCCGCCCCAGCAGCAGCAGCCCCTGGAGCAGCCGCCCCAGCAGCAGCAGCCCCTGGAGCAGCCGCCCCAGCAGCAGCAGCCCCTGGAGCAGCCGCCCCAGCAGCAGCAGCCCCTGGAGCAGCCGCCCCAACAGCAGCAGCCCCTGGAGCAGCCGCCCCAGCAGCAGCAGCCCCTGGAGCAGCCGCCCCAGCAGCAGCCGCCCCAGCAGGAGCAGCCCCAGCAGCAGCAGCCCCTGGAGCAGCCGCCCCAGCAGCAGCAGCCCCTGGAGCAGCCGCCCCAGCAGCAGCCCCTGGAGCAGCCGCCCCAGCAGCAGCAGCCCCTGGAGCAGCCGCCCCAGCAGCAGCAGCCCCTGGAGCAGCCGCCCCAGCAGCAGCCGCCCCTGGCCCCTGCAGCAGCCGCTCTTGGACCCGGTGCAGCCGTGGGGGGGTGGGTGTGGGGGTGATGGTTGTGGGGGTGTCGGTTGTGCGTGCCGTCCCCTCCTCCTCCTCCTCCTTCGTCTCCCACTGCTGCAGCTATCGCTGAGGGGGGTGGTTGTGTGGGAGTCTGGGGTTTAGGGTTTAAGGGGGTGCTGTGGGTGTAGGGCTAGGGTTTGAGCAGGGGGTGTGTGAGAGGGGCGTTGGGAAGCTGGGGGAGGTTAAGTGGAGGCAGCAGTCTTGTCGTCAGCAGCACCAGCAGTCCGGAGGCTACAATCTCCGCTAGTCGCCAGTCGCCTGTGGGTCAATTGCTCGTCTGCCGCTACTTTTAGCCGCGGAGCCAGTTACTCCTGTAGTCCGGGCCTTTGCTTCGGTAGCCACTGAGCCAGCAGCTCGTCTGTGTGTCTGCAGCGTCAGCAGTCGCCTCCCATCTTCTCTCCCCCACAGTCTCTCCTCCTCCTCACTTGCCCTCTGTGATTAGCTCTAGCCTTACTTACCTATTGTGAACTCTAGCTCTATGCCTGCATGCTGTACTGATTATACCCCACTTTGACTATGGGGGTGTGTCAGATTATAATGCATGTCTAGTCTGTAGTGGGGTACTCAAAAGTGAGTATAACCCTTTTAGGGCTTACTACTTGTATCCCCCTCCTTTCTAGTTTCACCATTCTCCTTCCACAATTCTCTCGACATTTTCCTTACACCCTACACCCTCGAACTTCACCAAGTCACCTAAGCTACTATGGCTCCTAAGCCAAACTCTCGCTAGTTTTTTAACAGGGTAGCCCATAAGGGGTACAACCCAATCAGGGTTGATACTTGTACCAACTTTCTTCCCAATACAATCACTCTCTCGTCTAGTTTCTAACATGGTTTCAGAGCAGGTCCTCTTCCAGGACCGCTTTTTTAGGGCCCACCAATTAGTTCGCTGCCCGTAGCGCCCTACCCCACCAATCGCGCTGCCCTGCCCTGCCCTGCCTGTCGCGCTGCCCTGCCCTGCCCAACGCGCCGCCTTGCTCGCTGCGCACCGCCCTGCCCTGCGCGTCGCGCCGCCCTGCCCTGCGCGTTGCGCCGCCCTGCTGGCCGCGCGTCGTCCTGCCCTGCCCGCGCACCGCCCTGCCGCCTGCCGTGCCGCCCTGCCCTGCCCGCGCGTCGCCCTGCTGGCCGCCGCGTCGCCCTGATCTGCCAATGCACGCTTCCCAAGTGCCCGCGCGCCGCCCTGCCCGTCACGCCGTCCTGTTCCCTGCGTGCTCCCCTGCTCGTCACGCGCCACCCTGCTCTGCCCGCTATGGCTACTCTCAGCGTTCTTACATTCGATCATGAGGGCCGTCTGATCCAGTTCGATACGTTGCTCGATGACTTACAGCTGTACCTACTGGGCGATTCTAGAGACAACGTTTCGTTGTTTGACCACACGTCTGGAGCCTCTCTCGCCCCTCCCGACACAGCTGACAGTGCGACTCGCTCACAGTGGCTTACCCGTGACGCTGCTGCTCGCTTAGCCGTTCGCAATCACCTGCCGTTAGCCGAACGCGCTCACTTTGGCCAGCACAAGACTGCTAAAGCCTTGTACGACGTTGTAGTCGCTCGTTACTCTTCCCCAGCCACTGCTGCTCTCGGCCGCCTTATACTGCCCTACCTTTTTCCTGAGCTGTCAGCCTTTTCCACAGTCGAGGACCTCATCACCCACCTTCGCACTAGCGACACTCGCTACCGCGCTGCTCTCAAAGCCGAGTTCCTAGACAAGAACCCTCATCCGATGTACATCACTCTCTACTTCACAATCACCCGCCTCCCTGACTCTCTTCACGCAGTCAAGGACCACTTTCTCGCACTTGACCCCACAGACCTCACTGTCGACCTGCTCGAGAAGCACCTCCTTGCAGCTGAGACTAACATAGTCGCTGTAGGTGCTGCTCGTGGCACTCCTCGCACACCCTTCTTTGAGGGGTGTTCCCCCTCCCCCCTTGCCCCCTTCTACGCTTCTTCTGCTGCTGTTGACATCCTTGGTACTGAGGAGGTCGGGGCTGCTTCTGCTCCTAGTGGGAAGCGCCGCAGCGGCAAGGGCAAGGGAGTGAACCGTGGTGGAGGTGGCAGCGGGGGTGGTGGTGGAGGAGGCGGTCGAGGCGATGGAGGTGGCGGAGGTGGCGGTGGGAGTGGTGGCGGGAGTGGGGGTGTCAGTGACAACGGTGGGAGTGGTGGTGGTAGTGGTGGCGGCAGTGGGAGTTGTGGCGGCGGCAGTGGTGGCAGTCGGGGTGGAGCTGTTCAGAGGGGAGGTTCTGGCAGTGGCCAGAGGCAGCAGCACTAGCGTCCGAGCGAGACTCCTATGCCCCAGTAGCTTCGTAAGTGGTTTTCTCAGCGTGGGGCGTCTAAGGGTAGTGTTCACTGCCTGTATGTCATTCGCACAGGTGACCGCGCTGGTCAGACATGCGGGAAGTTTCACACACAGCAGCGCTGCTTCTCCCGCCTTGACGACGCTTGGCGCGCAGAGTTTGGCGACGAGGCTGAGCGCCCCCGCTGGCTAGAGTTGCTTAGGTCGGGTGTTGATATCTTTGCTCTTGACTATGATGCTATCCTTGCTGTCATGTATGCCTTGACTGTTAGTGCTGATGGTGATTGTTACCTGTGTGTGCCACCTGACCAAGGTATAGAGGCTGCTGCTTTAGGTGCTAGTGAGTCTGCTCTCCCTAGTACTGCGCCTGCTGAGGCCTTGCACACCTTCACCCTTGACTCAGGTGCTTCCCGCTGTTTCTTTCGCGATAGTACCACACTCACTACCACCACTACTGGGGGTCAGCGTGTGGCGATCTGCACGTGTACACTGACGGGCCGTCACCTGGCCACGTTCACCCGTCGGCCTGGGTCGAGTCTGTACACACTTACTACTGAGCCTGCTCAGGTAGCTGATTCTGGTCAAGTGTCCGCGTCAGGTCAGGTAGCCGCCCCCTGTTCGTGTCACCTCCTGTCGCACCAGACTCTCCTTTGGCACCACCGCCTTGGTCACCCCTCCCTGCCACGCCTCCGTGGCATGCACTCCCGCCTCCTTGTTTCTGGTCTTCCCAGGTCTCTGCATCCCCTCCCGCCCTCGCCTGCTCCACCCTGCCTTCCTTGCGTTGAGGGGCGGCAGCGCGCCGCTCCTCACTCCTCCTCGTTTCCCCCGACGACTGCTCCTCTGCAGACTCTCTACATGGACGTGTGGGGCATACTGTAACCCACGTCAGTGGACAGGACCGCGAGCGCTACTTTTTGCTGGTTGTTG